TAAAGACCCAGATATAGTCTTACCTTATGTTAAATGTAAACTTTATGTATCAATGTCCATTTATTTATTGATGAAGACGTCAGATTTCATGCACCACAACTTGATGTTTCGGACTTATAACTACTGTTTTAAGACTGAAGACGAAAAAAGGTAACCTATCATATATTTATTAGTGCCAACCCCTCTCTCTTAGGAACTCCCTCTCTTAGGAACCCCCTAAGCTGGGCGGAGGCCCTAGACACAACTCATGCCACAGTGGCGATGTTTGTGTTGGCTTGGAGAGTTTCTATTTGCGGCCACACACTTCGTGAGCGTTCTCATCGATACGTGAGACCACGAGGCGTAGCGAGCGTCATGTGAATACCTTGCTCAGTAATTTAGCGGAAAGTGATTCAGTAAATTGAAACTCGCCTATTTTTCTCATGAGATAATATTGTTTTCGCCACATTACATTGTTCGAACTTTTAACTTTAGGATTTAGTCCGGAAAACAGCTGTTTGCAACCAGCTTGACCAAATTGGGTTGGTTACATTACGTGCTACTGTTACATACACTACATTATGTACTGTTATGAGTTTTTACCAAGCACCAGCTGATTGTATTTGGCAATGAGTGATTATAATTAAAACCTAGTGATTGTTAGTCCTCTAGTCGGCGAGGATCTAATGGATTTGTACAGTTATTTTTAATTGTTAGGTTAGGTTAGTTAGTATGGAGAAAACTATCTTACGCCACTCGTCCGAAAATACGTTTACCGGACTCGTAACGTAATATACTATTAATATTTACAATTAATTGTCTGGATAGCTGAGTGGTTGTAGTGCTCACCTTCAAATCTCAAGATTCCTAGTTTGATTCTTGAACCAGATTCTATTTTGTCTTTGGTCTACCAACTACTGTTATCTAAGGAAAGGTCAATGCTACAAAGTACCAAAACCAAGGTGTAGACAGTTTTCCAAACAAATAAAACACGGAAATTCCAATTTCTTGGAGAAACAATATCTAAGTAATTGACATTTATAGCAACTTGATGATTGATTTTTGATCAATTTTCTATGTTTTCAAACTATTGAAGTAATTTAAATGAAATTCTCACATAATTTATCCTTGTCGTTTCATAACCTGCACAGTGCTCAATTTCTTAAATTTACTTAAACTAGAAAGTATTAAGGGGTTAACTAAAAATATACCACCCCGATGAAGTCATTAAATTCATGTTAAACTTGTAAGAGATCTCCCTTTTGCCTAAAAACTATACTTGTACAAAAAGTAACAGTACAAAATAAAAAGTAAGCTCAATCTTTAAGAGTCCCGTTTTATTTATTTCTTAAAAAATATATACCACTATGTCAAATCCATGAATGTATCAAATATCTTCATCAGTATCCTGGTATTTTCATTCTTATATTTTAGTATTTGAAATACTCTAACTTGTTTTATATTATTTTACGTGGTTGTTATAGTAAAGCTATCTTTAAATAAACAGGCTTCACATAATCAGTTATTTTATTAAAATTTCAACGTGACAAATGTGTTTCATAATAATGATTGCAATTAAAATATGTTACGGTTATAATTTTGTTTTTATTCGTGATAGAAAACATCTTAATGAAAAAAATCAGTAAACTAATTTATCGATACATAACGTTACATAAAGCAATTATAATTTAGTTTGTTGTGATAAGAAAAATTGCAATTTGTTTATATACGTTGTTAAAATGGTAATTTAATCTGAAGCGTTATAACCAAGTCCATTTAAGTTTGCTTTAATAACTACACTGCTTTTATAGCACAATTAAGTGGTGTTTTAACAGGCTGTGTTTATGTGCGTCTTTATAGCGAACCCCTTCAGCAGGCCGTTATGCTAAATGAGCACAGTAGCCATATTGCATCATACTTTTGCAGGCGTAGTCTATTTTTATATTGAAGCAGGATTTGTTTAATGGTTGGAGTCTAGTGGTTCTCTAGAACACATTTACATGCTGCAATAAGACTTTTATGCTGTGCCTTATTTTCCGTTACAATTTTTCAATACAGTAAGTTAGTCTCTCTTTGGTTAGGATTACGCCATTTTAACTTACGATGATAATTATTGTGCAAATTACAATAACATTAGGATTTGAAGTGAATTATAGTTTGTCTTAAACATTTAATTTGAGCATTTAATTTCTAAATACGAAATAAGGTAAAAGTATCGACTTTTAAAAAGTGCAAGAAGACTTCCATTCCCATTTTACTATATAAAACCTTTCGGGTTTGAGTAATTTTTTCCCTAGTGTTAATAGTATGTTTCCTATCTTCCATTGGGGTACGTATATTCATTTTAGGGTTTAGTACTTTACACTTTGCTCATAATACTATAGGCCAAATCAGTGGTTAAAAAAGTACTTACGCATTATACTGACTAGACAAAAACATCGACTTCCAAAAAATAAAATTGTAATTACAATAGTTAGAATAACAAAATCTCCCTAACATAACCTAACATAACCACCCTTAGGTTAGGTTAGGTTATTAGGTGTGGTTGGTACAATACGCAAGTACCCTTAAACATTCGTTTTATTCGGTTATAACAGTTTTAAAATTAATTAACACAAAACCTACTTTAAAACTATATTCAGATCATTGACGAGAATGATAGATTATCTAATTAATCTATATTTATAGAAATATTACATCCCGTCCATCATTAATCCTAATTTGTCTGTGTATAGTTCAAACACCATTTTTCAAAATATTCGAAATAAATATCGTGAACCAAGTTGACGATAGCTTCGCAGTTAATTGTCCTTATTTACGGTCATGATGAATAACACAGGATCATGTGTGAGGTAAATATAAACCTCCGGCTGATCAGAAGATATGAACCAGCTGGCAGCCAGGCTGAAGTCCAAACACAACACAGCCCAGCTGACAGTAGTGTTGCCAACTGAGGAAAACTAAAGTGTAATAAAAGTTTCTACCGTTTCTTATACATAAGGTATAATCTATGAGTCTAGTTAAAGGTTTGAATCTCGTTTTGCATCATTTTGATCACCGTATATGGATAGATTTAGAGTAAATAATTCTTTGAGTACAATGTGGATTTTTTATGAAGGATTACGGGTTTAAACTACATTGTATAATTACTTAAGCCACTTAAACTCATACTGATTAATATTATTTGATTATATATTAAGCTAATAGTCAAAGCTAATATGTATAATGTTTTTCACTATTGAACTTATATAATAAAACTGTTTAATGTTCATTCATGACAACTATTTTTTCAAGTTGAGATGTTATAATTAATTTTTCACTAATTTTGATTTGGACTAGGTTATTTCAGGCTGTTAGGTTAGAACTAAGAAATAGATTTGAACTTCTATTTTGTATTGCTTCATACAAGTTATTAGTCCAGATGTGAATTGATGGAAAAGGTCCAAATCAGAAAAAAATTACACTTTTCTTGAAACACTCTGTAATAAATTGACCATCCTTGTATCCTTGGTAAGAATAGGTTGTAAGATATAGGCCATGGTATTATTTTCTTGTAGGACCCAGAAGTTAAATAAATTGTTTTTTTTATGGCCTGATACGACTGTAAAGGATTGTTTTGAATCCTAAATATCACTTAAGCATATTACACTATTTATTTATACTCCTATATGTTACCAAAACAGGTATTTGACGAAGTACAGTATCTCCTATATTATTTCCTAAAGGAGATTAAACCATTTACAGTACATTGCTTTCTAATGGTTATCTTTGTCGATCCTGACAATTTTTTAGTTAAATGAGTTGAAATTCAACCCAAACATGTAATTATATTTTCCTAATAGCAATTATTATCCGAATTATTATTTGTTTAGTTTATGTTTGTTATATTCACCGTGTAACTAAAAGTAACAGCCATTTGAAAAATAAAACTATTAAAATATAGCTTAAAATACCAATGCAAGTAATTTGTAGATGGTTTACTAAATGTAGATTTTTTTGTATGTCCAGTAGTTAATGTAGACCTAGTAATTAGTTACTAAGCATTATTTAAATAAAAACTGCTAAGTGTGATTGAAAATTTCAAAATTTTCACACAAACTTTACAGTAAAATACCCCCGCCGCAGCAAACCTGCCGACTAAGCGAATTTCCATTTGTCTGAATTGATTTTCAGTTAAATATATTTTAATAAGATTAGGTTAAACGAGTACCTAGGTTTGCTGCTACAAGGAAACTAATAAAGTGTGTTTTTGAGTAAAATATTGATAGCTTAGTACAAAATAAATAAATTTGCCAAGTTTGATCAAAATATATCCATAAACAAGCAAACTACAACATTTAACAATATTCTCCATAAGAATAACATGGGAATTTTAAATTTACAATTTTTTTTTAATTTTCTCCGTTACTAATAATCGAACAAAAATACTTTTATATACTAAATTATTTGTTTTTTAAGCTCTTTAAAAAGGTCTAAAGAGAAATCGGGAAATTTTGTGTTTTGAGGGTCAAAAGTGAGAAAAACCAATTTTTACCCCATAAAACCCTCCGTAAAGCCTCGTTCCCATGGTCCGATCGTGCTGGTTCGCGAACTCATTCAAGTTTATCCCACTTTACACCTTTAAACCAAATTTCATCAAAATCGGACAAAAATTACTCAAGTTATCGCGTTCACGGACGTATATATATATATATATATACATATATAAACATTTGAACGAATGGTGTTTTTGGCCTCTGGGGACATCAAAATGAAAAAGTAAATCGGTCCCGGGTCTAGGTCTTACTGTGCCACCTACGGTAATAGCTACTTCCCTATAGGGAAATTCGCTAAAATAAAACTATTTTTTGTTATTCTTCTTTTCGCAAACAAACCCATTCGCGTGACAAAGTTCGTCAACAATGGTAAGTGGGGCAGTGGTACCAACCGAAGTGACAGCCAGGCCTACCAACTGCCACTAAATAACACTGTCGCAGGGTGGCACGCGACTACAGCGCGCGCAGTGGGTGAAGATCGTTTACCTGGATTGCGCCTTGGTTACGACCGTCATGGTGCCATCCCCCGGTGGACGAGGTATAGTGACGCCTGCTCCTTCCCCCACGGCAGCCCGCTACACACTGAATACTGCGGGTTGCGTTAGATTCTCACGGCGCACCTTCTCGAGTCGCCACAACATATCCTTGGATAAAATCTTAGTCGTTCACTTCAAGGTTAATCACTAGTCTGATAACACGATGTGGCTTTAATTCACCCTTGTAAGCCAATTGTTTATGGTATCAATTTATCTTTTAAGACTTTGATTTTAAAAAGTGTTGTAGGTGCATCCACTCTTGTAAGCCGGTTTATTTAGTAGCAATTCTTACTTACGTCGAATACTTGGAAATTGTAAATATATTTAGAATAAGTTTTGAGTTATAATAGGCCTACATACAATTCAATATTAAAAAATGAGAAAGTAGTTAATACTCGTAATAAATGCATTTCGTTTATCAAACGATATTAAACAATGAATTTTAAAATATACTTGATCACTTGGACCGAAACAAGCTTAATATATGCGAAGATTTAAGCACCATGTTTGATCGGTATGAAATAAAACGATGATTAACACTATGAATAAGAAAATAACATGAGAGGCCTACATACCGTGTACTGTCAGAAAAACTATAAATGAAAAGAATTTAAATGATTTCCGTATAACTCAGAGAACAACTTTGAACTGCATATTATTCAACGATTCCACTCAAAAATAAAAATAAAATATTGCAAGTACCATAGTATATTACCTTATCATATTACATGTTACATTAATGTTACCCATGAGGACAAAAAATACCATTTATCAGACAATAAACCAAACAATGCAGTGAACAATATCAAATTCATTTTTTTTGTCCTAGGACGCTAGGCATGAGCCCGGAATTGTTTTTCACATTACTTCAGGCTAGAATTATCTATGGGTTGCGGCATTATCACATGGATAAAATCCATTGGTTAATTGGCGGGATTTGAACCCGGGACCTCTGGAACCGAAGTCCCGCGCTCTAACTAGACTAGCTCGCTCCACTAATATAAAATTAAATTAGAAACCCATACAAATTTACTACCAGTAAACCTTCTTGATGACAACGAAGTAACTAACGATAAAGTAACGACAAGTTAGTTATGGACTTAAAATATCCCTCCTTTATACAACGATCCCTCGGTTTAAATTATGATACCTTTTGTTCGTGATGCACTTGTAGGAGTGTAACTAATGAAAAAATCATCAAATATTCATATTTTTCTAGGCTCAAAAATGTATCGTAAATAAATCGATAATAGGAAAATTCCAGCATAACACATATTAAATCATGGTATTTAAATAAACTTAATTAAAACAAAGATACGTGTAGAATAAAAGATATTAAAAGAGAACAGAAAAACAGACTAAAACAGGAAAGTGTTGAAAAAGGTCTCATGTTAACAGTGAATACTTCAAGATTAAGAAAATATTACACCAACTATTTCCTTACATATAGAAAGGTTTATAGACAGTTTATCGTGAAAAGTAGATTACTTTTTGTTTGCGATCTGTTTTGGACTTGAAAAGAACGAAAAAGAACAAAAAAATCATCTAAACCACAAAATTATGATGTAATATGAAACACAAATTACATAAATTTCCTCGGAAATGTGTTTAATTACCTTCTTAGAGATAAGATTTAATTACCAACGCTAAGGATGTCCTAAGACTAGAAATAATAGTTAGTGACTAGAGATATCTAGGTGTTCCTAATTCAAACTAAAATACTAAATAATGATGGAATCACACTGACTACTAGTATTTTGAAACAGGGGTTATGATTTATTGACATGATCATCACAAGAAAAATGTATATCAAAAACACAGAATCAATAACAACAGCAAGTAATATGTAATAACATTATCTAAGATTTTCTAGAGTTCCAAGTAAACTAATAGAATCTAGGATTTTATTTTACTGCCTGATGCTACCTTCCCTAACCGGAAGGCTTAAGATGGATATTAATTGTGATGTAATATCATATCTAATATGTTTACTAATTTTTTGTTGCAGCGTAAAAAATAACAAAACACGTTTTGAAGAAAAGCTGTTAGCGTGACTTCAGCCAAGGCTTCTTTCAATCTTCAATTGATTTACTAAAAATACTTGCAGTGTGAAATATTTCATGATTCCTGGAGTATGATATTTGAACGTAAAATCTTTAACTGAAAACAAACCAAACCCAATAATCTTTAATCCTGACTCATGTTTAATTTAGCTTTTGAAATCTTACAAGTAGCAAACGTAAAAGTTTACTTCACATGTGTAGTGACAATTTAAGTTTAGAAATTATTTTTACTCAAAATACATACATGGAAAGTCTTATTAAAGTGTTATACTATCTATGTCGTTGTTTAATTAAATGGGTGTAGAGTGGTTAATTCGAGGCTTATTTGAAGGCAATTTTCAACGAATTCTTTCTGACCAACCTAATGCTGGAAATTTTGAAGTTAAATACTGGATTATTAACCAAGAATGGGTCTATATATTAACATCCAGGGTTTGGATTAACCTAAATTTATTTAAAACTAACCAAAGAAGCTTTTTCAGTTACAAAACTGAAATCCAGCACTTCTGCCACAAATGTTAAACTGTTTTTGGGTAGTTTTAACAAACGATCACGTCAATTTTGTTAGGAAGTCTATTTATCAGATTCCAGTCTGACTGTTCCTTTATAAAACCCACTTGACTTCCAGTTTAATTTACAACGCCATGAATCAGGCCCTGCTATAAATTCTGCGCGATAACAAAAGCTGTTTGGTTGTTTACATTAGACTACGCAATCGACAAAACCTATAACGTCGAAATATTCTGAAACGAATTTCGAAACCAATATCCAAAGAGTTTTACTTATAGAACTCGATCTAGGAGTCCAGTTAAATTCACAACGCGTGCGGTTTTGTAAATAAAATAGTTACAACATGTGTTGAAATGAATAAATTCATGTTCTTCGCGTTTTGGCAATACACCATTATGAAAGAAGTTGATTTTGAAGTAGTTTTCGCTGTGAGACTTAATTGTTTAGCTACTATTATAGATTGCGACTATCTGTTTTTATTTTTGTATTTACTACTATGGACACTTTTCAAATAGGTATTACTTAAAAATTTGGATCTCTAAGGATCTTTTTTTGGATGACCTAAACATGAATTATGGTGAATGGAAAATGATAAAAAATCTAGTTTCTCAGTTTCAAATTTAGAATGATGATTGAGCATAAATTATTTCTTATTAAGACAAGGTCTTATATTCGTATAGTCTGTGAATTAAACTTTTATGTTTGAAGACAATTTTGAAGGATCAATTTAAAAACCCACTTTGTGAATTTGAAATTCACAACTTTTCACTGACATCTGCACAAAAACAGAATCAAAATTCATGCTAAAAACACACGGCTTAATCGGTTTAATTCACCACATTCTTACAAATTGGATAACGAACCATTAAAAAAATGATATTAATGCTTTAGGAAAGGTCTCAAAAGAAAAACTTCAAAAAACGGTATGCACAAATTTTGATTTAGTACGTCATGACAACATGTAAAGCTAACGAACGCGAATCCAAATATAATCCAGAAATATAAATATGTGAGATTGACGCAATCCTTTGCATCATCTCCCTTCTGGTAGACAGAAATAACAGCAAGAGTGATTGAAGATACACTGGAAGGGGTCTGGTACATGCAAGAAATGTGGCTAGAAACAGTCATCATTTGAAGTTCAACATGGCAGAGATAATCTTAACGTTGCTAGGAATTTTCATAAGCTTAATTAAATTAGGAAAAACGTTTTGGTAGGCTGTTGGTTGAAATGAAGTCAGATGGTAGGAAATGTTGGTTTGGTATGTAATAAGTTACGGTGATTTTGTTTATGGTTAACTCTGTTGTTACACTTGGTAGCTATACAAAAATAAAGTCGAACTAATTAACCTTTTTCTAATATTTATACCGGAGTTTTTATGGAAAACCCACTAACAACACAATAACACTTTAATTGGAAACCAGCGTTATCCCCTTGGATTTTATATTAATTCACAAGGGCTTGTTAATACAAATATATAAAATAGATACAGAATTTTAAAGACAAGTTCAGGCAGACCAAATATTTTAACGACGGTTTAGCATAGTTTAGCAAGAAACATTAAAATACAGATACACTTATTTTTATACGGTCAGATTGGAAATATTATAGTAAGGGGTGAAATTAATTAGCATGAATATCATTGATTAAATTCCTAACGGAATTCCTATATCTATGATAAAAGAAAAATCTAAATTCTATTTTAATATCTGAAAAAAATTAAATACCATTAAATGTAAAGTAAATACTGCAGGATAATTATCCGAATGAAAAGTAACGTTGTTAACAAACTAACAAAACTGACATTGACATTGTTATTTGTTAGCCCTATTTCAACAATGGTCACATTGTGTATAAATATAGTCGGCTGGATTACCTGGTTAGCAATCAAGACAATTTTAAAGCTTCAGCACAATATTTTTAGACAGAACAGTTTCTAAAGGGTTAAATTACCTGGTTACTGTTAAAAAGATACTTTGCCTTTATACACAGTAATCAGGTAATTTAAACCTATATTAGTTACTTTATACAATAATTAACACAATACCGTCATGAAAACAGTTTCTGTACTAAAAATATATATGACATAATACCCCCGCCACAGTAAACCTGCAGACTAAGCGAATTTCAATTTGATTGATTGGATTTGATAGAAAATATCTCCTTAAAAATATCACATAATTATTCCATATTTAAAAAGCATTAGTTTAACAAGTACTTAGGTTTGCTGCAACAGGTAGGTGTTAAAAGTGCGTTTTTATGTGTGGGAAATGCTATACAGTATTTATTTTAGTATGGAATGAATGAATTTTTTAAATGCGATAAAAATATATTAATAAACAAACAGTCTACATCAGTTTACTTATCCTCCATAAGAAAAAACATTGGGATTTATATTTACAACATTTTGATTTTTCTCCTTAACCATTAGGCGAATGATGAAGC